GAAATTCAGATTGTACACATCCCTATGCATTGACATTGCGCACTGTTTGCATTGCAATATGCATTGGCATTGCAAACTAATATTGCTCGTGATTCTGAAGGTGATACTCAATAAGTGAGGTGTCATATGAAAGCGCAGGTTCTTCTCCATATTCCCCACAGGGCCGGCCCACCCCCAAAATTGTAAAAAATATCTTGCTTAGACTAGAATCTAGATCTAGTCTACTCTCAAAGATACACTCATAAAAAACAACCGTGCAGATAAACTAGAGAAAGGCCAAGGTGGTGTCATAAGTTGACTCTTTTGTTTTCGGCATTTAAAAGTATTAATGACTGCTTTGAGAGAAATAGTTGTTTTTATACGCTCTCGGGAAGGTTACAATTGGGCTATTGCCCTCGGCACGCCTCGGGCAATAGCACAATTCTAACCTTCCCTTGAGCGTATAAAAACAACTATTTCTCTCAAAGCAGTCATTAATACTATAATATGAAAGAAAGGTATGCGTGATAAATCTAATAAATCATCTATACACAAACTACAAATTTGCGGAAATTCTGGATCTTGGCATTGCGCTATTACGTGAGATGTTGTTTTCAAAAGCTTGCATGGCTTAACTGTACACGCAGGCATGCGTCGATAATAAGAAAAACAATTTAAATCGAACAATAGAAATGGCGTAACAATACTCTGGATAATAAACAGTAGTAAACAAAGTCACATGGCACTGTGCCCAGTGGTGACAGTTCAAATGTACTTTGAACATGTCGAACGAAACTGCTTGTCTGCTTAAAGGTGAAGTCCACCCTGATACAAAGTTGGGTTTAAAGCCTTACTGCACTACTTGTAGCTACTTGCGCCCACTATATAGCAAACAATGCCTAATCGGTGACCATTGGTCCCCCATGGTCCCCTTTCTTCTTATGTTAATTGAGAGCTGATTCGATGAGATAACCACCTGTCAGTGACCATGCGGGGAGGTCTAATCCCTCCTGGCCAAACTAGTGCAGAGGGGCTATAATAGAAGCAGAAAAGCGAGAGGAACAGTTCAGAGAAGGTTTGAGCAAATTTCGATTGAAAATAAGAAAGTTATGACTATGAGTTATCTCTTCTGTCATCAATAACTAAGAAAATGAAAGTTTATGAAATGTTGTGTATTGGAGAGGAGCTCGCAAGATGCGTCACAGTGTTACCAAGTTTAGAACATTATTATTTTTATCATTATTATTTTCATCATCATCACTTTAATTGTTACTTTTCCTTATTAATATGACAAGTTGTTTCTAAAAGTAATTTGGTTTCTCAAAATTATAGTGTTGGCCCATTCGCATTCCAGTCACAATCATGTTCGTCGTTGAAAAAATGGTTAACATGTCATGTATTGAAAACAACGCGAACTTGCCCCAGTTTCCCTCCTCATCGTTTCATGTGAACACGTCCCCCCCCCCCCTCCACAAAAAAAAAAACAAACAAATGGGAAAAACAATCCACAGAATGGAACCCGCATGACTGTTTACATGAAGCCAAGGTGAGCAGCAAACATTTGAACCATATCATGAACATTCACAATGGCTTTGAATGATAAAGAATTGTACCGTAACGGCAGTTGGTGATTGTTATTATTACGAATGATTTATATGGTGTTGTGCTGTAAGTGGATTTCTATTCAACTGTTGCACGTAGTATGTGTTAGATTTGATAGAACCTATTTAGTTTAGTTCATGTTTACAGGTGTATTGTACGTGATGGTCACGTGCGAGTTTGCAGAAAGTTTTCTGCAAACTCGCCCAAACTCTGCCATCAAACTGAGAATACACCCTAAAAATATATATATATACGTATATAGGCCTAGGCCTATGTATTATTATATAATCATAATGAAAATAAACATTCCCACTAACAAATTATAACTACTACTTTGCTACGTTTTCATAGCACGAGGTAAACTGGTTCCTTCACTGGACACTTGCTTTCTTAAAGGTCAGGTAAAAAACAAAACATTAAAACAAGACATATATGCAGGCCTATACATGTATAAATAAAATAATATCTTTAAAAATACGAGATTCTTTGTAATAGTAGAACGTAAAATAAAGATAAACTTATTAGACCTGGTATATATGCTTCATATTCATTGTGTCATTTAAACCCTTGAAGCAATTACAATCGAAGAAGGTTGACATCGCTTAAACTTCCTTAAAGGGTTATTTGGAGGACGCTGTAAAGATATATTTGTATCAATGCAAGACGGAACATTATGTGAACATAGTCCTAAAGGAGTGTTATGACGATCCTCGTATTATATTTTTGTTCACATACTTGTATTGTGGCACGTATTTCATCGGATGATCGAAGTTCTTTGTCAAAGGTGGATTTTGAACATAGCCCCAAGCTAAAATTGAGTCTTTTTACTCATGTTACTTTAGAGCTGCATTGTCTCTGGGCTTGTTTGTGTCTAGACTATTATAGTTCTTTACCCCCCCCCCCCCTCTCTCTCTCTCTCTCTCTCTCTTTCACGACCACCTCTCCACCTCTCTTTCTCTCTCTCTCTCTCTCTCTCTCTCTCTCTCTCTCTCCCTTTCGATATCCTCTGTGTTTTTTTTTCTCAACCTCTCGCTTCGTGTCAGTACGTGATCTTATGGAATATTTTTGTCTCTTTAATTCCCCCATAAAGTATTTAGTATCTAACATATTCAATTGCTTAATTTTCCATCTTTATGTTCGCTTTATCTCTTGCATGTTATAACATGTTTCTTTTAAGGAACACACGTAGATGTATATAGGCCTACATTTTATATAACTGTTCCTCTTTGTCCCCGTTCTCTCTCTCTCTCTCTCTCTGTATTTATGTCAAAGTTTTGTGTTTGCTAACTTTTACCTCTCTCTTTTAGTTATCTAAAACACACTATCACATAAGTTAGTATGTTTGCGTATAAAAATAAGTAAATTTATGGAGATGTTTCATATCATGTGCTACAATTAATATACGGAATACTTGTATAATAATCTATCATAAGATAACTTTAAAAAGAATGTTGAGTTCTGGGGAGAGGTAAATATAATTTGTGAGCGTTTTCATTGTTATTATGCAAGTCTGGAAGAACGTCTGCTAAAAACTGTTCCCCTAAAAGCATGGCTCTTCAAATGCCTTAATAATCTAAATATGACAAGTAACGGCTCAAAGATGAGGCCCACATTTTTATGCCACATGTTTGTGCTGTCCCATATACTTCTTGCTGTGTACGGTGCCTCTTACCTTTACCAAGACTGGGCCCAATTTCTAAACATTTTGATGATTCCAGAACCTAAGCTTGCAGGACCTAAGCTTGCAGTACACATCAATACTTACATGCTATAGATGATCAACTTTTCTGATCGATTCCACATCGTTTCTTTCACAATGCAATCGCATGACAAGAACTCAACTGTATCTTTAAATGTATACGAACTGGGAAAACCCACTTTATTCTCAGATTTCTCATCATGACGTGGTCAGATAGTTCAATAGACAGAGGTCAGAAAAAACGCAACGTCAAGAATGCCCGCGTTGGTCCTGTAAAGGGTGACAGACGATGGGTGTGGCCGGAACCTCAATAGGTATACCTCAGGGGGATTTCCCCCCAAAGTTGTGCACCCATTACATCATCAATGCATTATCTTGGTGATCTAACTTTAGACGTGGTTTTTCTTTCATATCTGAGTGCAATGGGTAGGGCCTGCATTCTTCTTAAGTAGAATCAGGGCTCGGTTTGAAGATAAAGTTGAGTTCTGGTCATGCTATTGCATTGTGAAAGAAGCGGTGTGGAATCGATCAAAATGATAAGAAATTTGGTCCAGTCTTTGTAAAGTTACAAGCTCTATACGCAGAAATATGTATATGGGACTACACGAACATGTGGCATAAAAATCCGTCCCGATTTGTATGCTGTTACATGCCATATTTAGTTAAGGCAATTGAAGAGCCATGCTTTTCAGGGAACATTTGTTATCAGATGTTCTTCAACACTTGCATAATAACAATGATAACGCTCAAAAATTATTTTTCACATCTTCCCAGAACTCAACCTTCTCTTTGAAGATAAAGACAAGCTAATTGAGTTCTGGTAATGATTTAAACAAATTCTCACAGAGTCCAACAAAACTTCAACTGAATGTTCAAGATTACAAATATATGACAAGTGCCAAACAATTTTGGTAGAAAATGTATAGGGGCTGAGTAATGAGCATAGAAACATTAGGAAATCAAGGTAGGCCCGACAGCATGTGCTTAAGACAGGTCACTATGTGAAAATGAGAGTTGTGTTTTTTTAATGTTTTTTTTTTTATTGAAGATGATTTCCAGCAAGTTGTTGTGAGTTTGCTTTTTAGTTTACCGGTTCAAACAATCAATCTACTGCAGGACAACTAATCCAGAATGAGTTATAGCCATGTTCTCTTGACGTAATGAAAACGAAATTGGAAACCGTATTGATGGTTGTAGTGCGGAAGTGTGGGAATTGTTATTGCTATTATCATTTTTCTTCTTCGTTTAATCATTGATCTGCAATGAGGCCCCTTCTTTCTTTTAGTTTCGTTCCTTTTCTCCTATATTTTCTTCTTATTTTGTTCGATCTGTATATTTTTGGTTTGTAACTAAAAAAAGAAAAGAAAAAGAAAGAAATGCGTCAGTAAAGCAAATAAACATAGATACGTGTAGTATTTTTATGCGAAAAATATTCTATATTGTTGCATTTTTGAAAACAAGTTCCCAGTCCAAAGATTATCATACACCAACAAAAACTTTGAAAACTTTGTGAATATATACGCAGAACACAATGGCCCGAGCGTGGAGTATGTCGCAAGCCTCCGAGGTACTTTATAGGGAAAGCCCCCAATTTTGCAGAGTTGAATAGCAGTACGTCATCATTCATTGCATACTGTTCACAATAACCCTTGGAGCAAATACACACAGACAGACGCTCGACACACACCGCCTCACCGCTATTTGCGCGTTATCATTGCCTGCCTGCGGTCGATAAAGTTTTAGCGAGCGCCGAGTTCCATCATTATCAAAGTTGTCTGTGCAAGTTGCAAGAGTTGGTCCTCCGGAATAATTCGCTCTGAACTTCAATTGGTGGGCCTATTTGTTTCATGCATTTCGTGTTCTGGTTTTCTTTTCCTCTCGAGCGCTTGGATTACACAACGTAAGTAAAGATTATATCCTACACAAATTAGCTCAGTATCATAAAATCAGTATTGTTTTGAGAATTTATTGTTGAAGATGCGATGTAGCTTTCGTCATCTGAATTATGAGGTTATTCGATGTGTGCTTGTATCTAATCGTGATGGTGTATCATCTTTATTAAACGGCTAAATAGGATTGCTTGTTTCATCAAAGCGAGTAAGCGACTGGATAGAATGACATCTAAAATTCGAAGTTCTGCTTATAGCATGCACATAATTATTTTTTAAACCAAAAACGAGGCGAAGGTGGAGATGAAATCGAGGCAATTTGCCTGCGGATGAGTGGGCGTGGCCGCGTGGGTGGGGTAGGTGGATGTATCTGCGGAGTCGGAGAGAGGATCATGAGCGGACTTAATAGGGGTAATGAGTGAAGATGATAGTGGTGGTGATGGTGGCATTGGTGGTGGCGGTGGTGGTGGTGGTGGTGGTGGTGGTGGTGGTGGTGGTGTATGTGGCGGCGGTGGTGATGGTGGCAGAGTGGTGTTTATGGTAGTGGTATTGTTGAAAATGTACTGACAATGCGCGTTGATAGTGGCTTTGACGATAATGATAGTGGTGATTATTCTGATGGTCATAGCGATAATAATGATGGAGCTGGTTGTGGTGGTGGTGATGGTGGTTGTAATGGACAGATGGTGGTGTTGTTGTTGTTGTTGTTGGTGAAGTTGTCGATTGTGTTACAAGTAGTGATGGTGAAGATTGTGGTGGTAGTGATTATTTTCGTAATGATGGTGTTTTGGTGGTGGTGGTGGTGGTGGTGGTGATGATGATGGTGGGGGCGACAGTGGTAGCGCCGGTGATGCCGACGAGCATCATGGTAGTATTTTCCATTTTCGTCCTTAGCATCTTCATAAAAAACTCCGAATAACGCCATTTCACACTTAAAACCCTTGTTGATACTACAATTTTTTTTTTTTTTTTTTTACATAGGTACCGGTTGACGCTCATCAAACATCTCTATTACGTAACGATCAAACTGTACTATCTATATGACTATGTATCCGTAACTTGCCACCCACTAAGCCAATACTACTTCTAACCAGGTTTCAGATAAAGATCCCGTCACTATGTACTCAGAAGTCAGAACACATATTCATTCCTCTTCTGCAAAGCGTTTATACTATGAAGAATAATTGGCGCTCGAATGCACAGCTTCAATACAGACTCCGCCCAGGGTTCTAAGCTTACTATGTGAAAATGTTTGGTGGTGGTGAATACAATGGATTCCGAATCGACATGGGTTTGCAGATCTGTGGGAATTGTATCACCGAAGGGGGAGAGATATTGAATAGAATTATGTAGTTGTTTTGTGCATAATACTTTGTCAAAAGATAAATGCTTATTAGTCAAAGCTCAAAACAAGCTCATGAATTGGCACTGCGTTGCTTATTAACAATTGAAAGGCATGAGGGGGCATGAGGGGGGCATGAGAAGTGTGTGTGAAAGTTCATGTAAACCGAATCTCAAATTGGTCTCGAATTCAGATGATCATGGCTATTCGTCGGAATGTATCTCGAACATCACAAGCATCGCTCGAATCCTATTTGATGTCCATACGTTATGAAATTTAACGCTACGTTTCTAAATATTATATTATGAACAGTAAATGGAGATGTAGTGGTGGTGTTCATAATGGCGTTAAATGTTTCAGCATGCCTAGAAAACGCACCGAGTGTTTTCTCACGTATGGACAACAATTGGAGATGTAGTGGGGGTGTCCATATGGTGTTAGATGTTTCAGCATGCCTAGAAACGCACCGTGTGTTTTCACACGTATGGACAACAAATGAAGATGTAGTGCGGGTGTTAAATGTTTCAGAGTGCCTGGAAACGCGAAGTCGGGTCTCAACCGTTTGGATAGCACGTTATTCAAATCAAGCTTTAAATCTAGTCAAAACATCAAACGTACACACTCACCATTTTTGAATGGTGACTCTTTTATTATTTACCTACCCGCTGCGTGGGTCATTCTACTTTCGAGAACAGATAGACACCAGTCTGATTATTATGGGATAGTTTTAGTGTTCTTGCTATTTCAATCGCACACAGACAAAGCATCTCTCATTATTACTGTTTAATGTCTATGTGATTGGCATCTTAATAATTGATGTATTGAATTCATGTCACTAAAAGAATTACCCATTATACACAAAAGCGATCTTATATATACGACGTTGAAACCCATAACCTTTTGTCTAAATATGAAACTAGTTCGTACAGGCATCATAAGCACCGATATTATAAACTGGACCCATTTAAAGGAAACTCCGAATTGAGTTCGCCATCTTGTTCTTTCGGTTTCACAAAGCGTCTAATGACAAATGAAGAAAAAAAACCCGTCAACGTGATTATGTAAATCATTGTAAAAACAGCCCGAAAGGAATATGATATGGCGGTTTTGTTTTAAGGCCTTTATTGCTTATAAGCAACGCATACAACGCAATATAAGGCTACTGTGGCACGCTGTAAAATCACCACTAATACTAAAACATTTGGGACTTGGTTTCAATAGTAAAATGAGCAAGAGAAAGAAAAAAAAACTATGCGACTTGATAATGAGTTTATGATTATGATAATTATGTCCAAACTAAAAGGGATATGAAAATGGAGATGATTACGGACAATTTTGCACAATAATTCATACTAGTACCGATTATTTTACAGTTATTATTACACCGTCATCGGAAATGTTCTTGCACACATTGTGTGCACCATCTTCGCTGTCTTGAGAATACACGTATTCTTACCGACTGTACATAAAGTGAAATGTTTCCGAACAGGCAGTATAACATTGAGTGTCTGTCTATATTTTATAGCTTCGTTGCATAATTTCATTCAATCGGATAGCCTCTTTCTACATGTATGCTAAAGAAGATATCAATAGTCTATTCGGAAGCAGAACCTAGGTCGGTTAGATAAGACATTAGGGACTTTTAGATTTGCGTGGACTGAAACGTGTGACGTCCATTCAAGGCAGTGCATTAAAAGGACGTCGATGGTAGCAATCCCCATTGTCTTCGTGCGAATCTAAAAGTCCCTATTGTTGCAGCGATCACACCATTACATTCTTCTGAAGTGACATTATAGCTTTAATGACTTTCTACATGAGCTTCGTCGTATATATTTCATTCAATCCTCTAACCTCTTACTGCATGAAAGGCTGATATTACAAACGATGTCAACAGCCTATTCGGAAATTAAAACCTAGGTCGTTTGGATAAGACATTTTGTCTAAATGTTTCTGAAGTGACATTATAGCTTCAGCGACTTAATACCTGAGCTTTGTCGTATTTCATTCTATAAGATTAAACTTCTTTTTACATGTCGAGGACTGAGTTTACAAAAGATATAAACAGTCTATTCGGAAGTAAGAACCTAGGTCGTTTGGATAAGACATTGGTGTACCGATCAAACCATCCGTTGTATATGGACCCTAGCTTGAAAGATACTTATTATACCGTGGCGCTGCTGTTAGTATTAACAAATGATGGTCATTTTATTAAATAAATCAGTGTTCAAAAGCTGAGCGATTTTTAATGTCGTTTTTTCAGCCATATTACATAATTCTGTTGTTGTGAATGTGTGTTCCGTGTTGATATATGTTTCCATATTTTCTATTCTCGTTTCAGGTTCACTTGCGAGCTCTGTTTCTGCTCTCGGTTTTATTTCAAGTGAACGCGACTGGCAAACCTATTGAGAACCTTAAAACCTTTCACGGATTTAGATTCTGCGGGTCGAGTTCACCATGAATGCGTTTGGCTCAGATCAAATGGTAAGAATTGTGACTTAATTATGATTGATTTGGGGAGTAATTAGCGTTGTCAACCAGTGTGTCGAGTTTCTTAAACGTTTCCTTTAAAGGGATCCGGTAAATTTGTCTTAGATCCTTAAAAAAAATCCTTGATTTAGCTCATGCTGCACTTATAATTATAAACCTTTAGGTCAGTCAGGAACCCCATGACTTTTACAAGCCGATCGCCTGTCTGATTATCAAGAGATTTATGATTGAAAATCGAATTCCAACTTTGTGTTTGCCAAAGGGTTTTCATAACACTACAGTCTTATGGAGAAAACGAGTATGGTAAAACCGGTCACTCAAAGGTTTTTACTTTTTTGAGGCACTTCTTGATCATTTTGAAGCGCGATTTTTTTTTATAGGGCCCTGTTACACCATATCACAGACACTGTGATAACACGTAGGGCCGTGCATCTCAGATTTAACCTTGCTAAACGATGCCTTTATACAGACGGTTTGATTTATTTCAAATTACTTACATAAAAAAAATGTCGATAGCAACGTGATAATATTGAGTTTTAGGCGTGCTAGATGGAGGTGTCGTGGAGTAGTGGTTCTTTTACTCGACTTTTAATTCAGTCCAAGGGTTTAGGGTTCGAATCCCAGTCTGACACGAACGTCCTTTGGAAAGACATTAATCCACCTTTGCCACTCTCCACCCAGGTGTAAATGGGTACCTGGCGATTGATATGATTGGAATGGTATAAATATGACCAGATAAGTATTATTATTTCTTAGCCTAAAAGCTACTATTTATTTCAAACTTGCATTGATCTATTCCATAGCAACCCCAAAAGCCTTCAGTTCTATAGCAACCAGGGTTATTTCACTGTTTTTTTTTGTAATTATTTATTCGATATTACTTGAACACTTAAATTGCATGCAAACTATTATACCTATTATACTAAGATTGATAATAATAAAAAGATAAGGCCTATTTATTACACTGTAAGAGATTGAATTTTGTGCATGCCTTACAAACCATTTTTCTTTAATGAAAGTAAAAATGCAATTGCATTATAAGTATCAACCATCATGGTATTAACTTAAGTTCAGTCTTTCATCAAACCCTCTGAACATAAATTGCCCATTTGACTAAACTCAATCAAGTCGAGAATTCAAATGAATATGACGCAGTGCACCTTATTCATCTTTAGTTTATCTCTACATACTAGTTGCTAGTTGGTTGCAAACAAATTTCCAATAAACCATTACTGCCTGTATACTAACAGTTAAAATTGCAATGACTTGCATCAACCTCTATCTTTCTATATTATACATTAAAAAAGAAATAAGCAGAAACGTAATCGCTCGCACGCAAAGGATAATCTTGAAAACTAGATAGGGTTCACCAAATGAAACAATTTGCGAGGTCTTTCTCTGAATTACTTGTTTTAACGACTTTAACCGACTTCCCTTAAATTCTTGTTTACCAGCTATGATATTCAAGGGAATATTTGATATTATTGTAAATGTTTTAGGAAGTGCCTGGTTCTGTTTTTGGTTCTGTTTTGGTTCTCTTTAGTAAACCTTGAATCAACTTTGTTTTTAAAAAAAATACTATGGAAGTGAAAGTGAAAATGCGTAACACGCGAATGAAAATCAATGTCTATCAACATGATGGAATCATTAATCCAGCAAAACATGATTTCTTTACATTAAAGGTAAAGACCAGTTATGGTCATGCGATTGCATTGTGAAAGAAACGTTGTGGAATCGATCAGAAAAGTTGATCATCTAGCATAGCATCTCCATGGTTCGGGAATCATCAAAATGATAAGAAATTTGGCCCATTCTTCGTAAAGTTACAAGCACTATACACAGAAAGAGGTATATGGGACTACCCTATATCTCTCACAGACCATGAGAGAAACAAATTTACCAAATATATGAATTAGTAGGCGGTTTCCCGGCAAATTTGTTATCGTCATGTATTAGTCAAAACATATTCTTTCACATATGATTGGTAATGAGAGCTTCCATTTCATTTTTTGAAATTGGGGCGTTTCCAATACTGGTCTTTACCTTTAACTTAAAGGCATTGTTTAACAATGCCTAATCTGAGATGCATGGCCCTACGTGTTATCAGCGTCTGTGATGTGGTGTAATATTGAAGCCCCAAACAAATGCGCTTCAAAATAATCGTGAAGTGCCTCAAAAAAGTAAAGATTTTTGAGTGACCGGTTTGACCATACAAAATCTTCCATTGCTATACCATCCTTTGCGATTTTGTCCTTCCATCAGTCTGATAACCATGCTAGCATATAAATTGTTTATGAAATGTAAGTTAAAACGGGTCATTGGTTTTTATCCGGTCCGAGTAGAAACGTTTCAAAACTATTAAACTCAATATTACTCTCTTCGCCCCACCAACCCCCCCCCCCCCTCCCCCTTCCCTTCTTCATATTACGATTTAAGACTTGCTATAGAAAGAAACATTCCATGACACTAGCTGTTTATTTCAAATTTGTTTGCAATTCATAACTTAGTTTTAGCTCCATTGTATAGTAGCTGATGGTACATTTTCGAAAAAGTCCCCAAACTTTACCCGAAGCATGTTTCGCACGATTTTCAAGCTTCGATGCACAACGCTTATGGCAGGATTCTTTTCTTCTCCTCAACGTCTAACGCTCCAGAACAACAACGCATTATGTTAACAAGACTTGTGGACAAAAAAATGCCATAACATCTTCATCGATGGCAAATATATCTAGACTGTGAAACGACTTGTTTGCTCCCCAGGTTCCAATTCATCGCTCGATTTTCAGACAATCTACTTCCCATTTTTAGCAGTTCATTGAAATCATAAGCTATTGTTCTTGAAGGTATTTTTGGCCGTCGTGTTGGCTTCGTTTGTACAAAACCAGAGCGGGTTATCGTCAAGTATAAGGTTCGTAGGGAAATAAGTTCGTGATTTACGTCATCACTTCATGTTGATATAAGTGGGGTGGGTGGATTTTTATTTATTTTGGGCTTTACATTCTTTCATATCTATATTGTGAGCGTCTGTAAAATAAAGCCTGGCTGGAATGCTCCCCAGGGAGCGGAGAATGTGCACACATTGTTTGCGAGCAAGCCTGAATCCGATGACCGTGGTGATGATATAGGCCCGTAAAAGTGGAATGTTACTATTATAGTATCCAATGTATTTGTAGAAAAATACAGATTTCTGCATTCTATACCCTTGATAAGGCGCCCCAAGGTGTCGTGGTATGGTTGTTCATTCACTTCACGTGAGGGTTCGAATCCCAGCTTGGCACTACTATCCTTCTGGCGAGGCATTTATCCGCATTTGCCACTCTCCACCCAGGTGTAAATGGGAACCTGGTTATTTCTAGGGTAATCGAATAATTTCAGGAATTATGAAGGTTCAAGAGAGCGGTATTGTCGACCTCAAGGCCTGACTGTTGGTCTAGTGGGACGGCCCTGATAATACGAACTTACAGCCCAACGTTATTTATTTATTTACAGTTTTTTTAATTTAAGCAAGGTTGCCCTTCAGTTGACAAACTGTTATCTCCCAGGGCACTGCACACTAAAAAAATATCAACGTACATAAAATATTTACAGACTTAACAAATACAAATTGAACACATAAATACCATAACAAACAAAGGTTATAAAACAAAGATGAATAACATAAGAAGAAATATGAATGCCATATTGTAAAGTGTAACTAATAATTGTAAACATATAGCATGATCAAAACACTAATTGATAATTTGTTAATTGTCCAGGCACTGATTACTGCCGTTGAAAGTAAAATGAGGTGATACATAGGAGAATGTTGAGTGGGTATAGATTGAGGGAAAGTAAAGAAAGAATAAAGAGAGAGGGAGTGGGAGTGAAAGAGAGAAAGAGAAAGAGAGAGAGAGAGAGAGAGAGAGAGAGAGGGAAAGGGAGAACACCTAACCAACATGACCAAGATAGAACAACATTCGTTTCATGTAATTAGGGTAAAAAGGTCGATTGTTCATATTTGTCTGCTAACCAAATATTTGGTATTACCAGAAAAACATGAACATGACGTTTCCATATATGCTCTTGTGGTTTCATTTGAGCTAGAACAAAGTTTCACCTTCATCGTGTTAACACAAAAGGCAGTCGGTTATATACTAAGAAGAGGGTTACTGTCTGGTAAAGGTGAAACAAACAATTTTTGAGCTTTCGTATTCTTTTTCTGTCAATTTGGAAGTATATCAGGAAAGAAAAATGTACAAATGCATTCATATTCGAAGTGTTTCTCATTTACTTCGAGACAGTAGTCTCATGAACATTGATTAAATTTATCTTTAAAGGGATCTAGTAACTTTGTTGGCATGTGCAGAAAGTGATGGTACAACGTGTAGTTTTGTGATCTGATAATATTATGTCCTCTGAGTAGTTTGTGAATATGTCACGTTTAATGGATGTTATAATGACTGAGTATTGGGCGAAAATGCAAAGTGATATTTGCTAACTCATTGCACTGACTTTGTGCACGGCAATGACTACTCAGTGGATAGTTAAAAATCCGAACACTTCAATCGTCAATATCTTTCGAACGAAAGTGCAATTCGAAATAAACAAAACCCGTTCCTTGCTTCTATAGGTAACAGAATACAACAACAGGGACTTTTAGATTTGCACGAAGAGAACGTGGACTGCTATGTGTGATATCCTTTTAAGGCACTGCCTTTAAATGACGTAACATTGCCTTAAAAGGATATATCAGTCCACGTTCTCGTCGTGCAAATCTAAAAGTCCCTAATGTAGAGAACATGGACCTAGAGAATTTTTGTGGATTTGAACAATGTTACTAGATCCCTTTAAGACTAAAGAGGCGTGCTACACTTTTTTTAAATCCGTTATGCGTTTCAAAGTTCTCCCTTTTTCGGGGGCGGGCGGGCGTGGGGGGGGGGGGGGGTGGATTTCTCAGAAATTTGAGAGGGTCAAACATGCCGATCCACTTTCTCTACATGTGAATCCAAAGCGGAATGATCTCGAAAATTAAGGTGTTGTTCTTGTTACCGAATAGCTTTCAGGATTTCCGTTAGAGTCTCGGATACAGGAAACGATGAAGAGAAAGATAACAAGTTGTAAGACTTGTTAAACAAGGAGGGCCAATTGCGTTGGTGGTTTTTCTAACGTGTACTAATCTTCAAAGCATATTTTTTCTCTTGGTGTAAGCGGTTTCATGTCGCTATACTATATCTCTACCCCCCCCCCCCCCCCCCCCCCCCACCGGGCACGCGTCAGGAAAAATAGGCTTTGGATGGTGAACTAAAAAAATGAATCAAGGAAAAATGAAATTATGGATGTCGGCCAAAAAGACAGGACACTTATGTTTACCATGGCAACTCTGAATATTTGGTCGAATTTCCCCCAAACTGATCTGTAAATAGCAGACGGAGAAAGATTTAAAGACTAGACTTAGAAGACAGGGTACGTGATAACTTCGTTTTGTTGAATTTGTCTTTTTCGAATTGTTAATTGAGTATTTATCACTTTGCAAATCAGCGAAATCATGAGCATAATCAGGATTAGGATAAGAGGTCGAGTCTAAGTATTCTCTGTGATTTGACCTTCTTCTCATATTAGTTTGGCGAAAGAAACTTAAAAGTTAAGGGCATTGTTTAACAATGTTTCAAGTTTTACAAATCTGAGATGCATGGCCCTACGTGTTATCAGTGTATGTGATAATGGCGTAATATTGAAGCCCTAAAAGAGTTGCGCTTCAAAATGATCACGAAGTGACTCAAAAAGCAAAAATATTTGAGTAACCGGTTTTTACCACACTCACTTTCCCCAATAGACTGTATAGTGTTATAAAAACCGTTGGGAAAACGGTTTTTGAAATTTTGAATTCCAATCATAATTATCTTGATGATCAGACAGGCAATCGGCTTGTAAAAGTCATGGGATTCCTGACTGACCTAAAGGTTTATAATCATGATTGCAGCATGAGCTAAATCCAGGATTTTGTTTAGAATCTTAGGCAAAAATATCCAATCCCTTTAAAAGTGTACGTGCGTTTTGTTTATGAGCTATTCATCTTTTTTCATAAACAATGACGCAGTGATTTGAACAGTAATCGACATTTAAATCGTCATTATGACCATGACAGGCCAAAATTTGATATACACTAATTTCCTAAACAGGCGTAATATAAAGAATGGACAAATTAGCTTTGTTCTATTTTATCTCATTCCACCCGAGTCATGATCAAGACCAATTTGTACTCTGAATTTGTCGTGATACTGAAAAAGGACGAAAGAACGATTAACAGCTTTATAGGATAGTGCGGAAATGATAAACAAGATAGAAAAAGGAGAAAACGTAATAACCTTTTTTTCAAATTTCCGGAGATTGTTTCCTGCTGATTTAAATTGAATGTCAAAGCGTTTTGTTTCATCGAAAAGCAAGAGGTCATCCTTTCTGAGTATTTATCTTTACAAAGGCCGAGCGATAGTATTTATATACATGTATACATGTATGTTCAATTAACACAATAGGCCTTCCCATAGCTAATAGAGAGGGACAGTTTGGACACGCGCTAGAAGGTCAAATCATTGGGTTCTAAATAGTTCCTCCCCTTACAGCCTGTGTATATGAGAGGGAACTAGCTGATGGCCCATGAATTTCACCTGTGAAACAGGACTTCCGGTAACGCAACTATACACGTTTTTACTCTTCTCGCTATGGGACTAGGATCAGCTGTTAGATTGAAAAATATAAATGTAGTATAGACATAAAACGTCATTACCTATTAGAAACACATCTGTAAAACATTAGTGTAAGTGTTACTGATTATTTTGTGCGGCAGTGTAAACGTTTATCAGTTGCTCATTGTAGAACATGTTGGCCTACTTATCTGAATATCATAAGTCGTTGATATTCTCACAAAAGTAATTTGTTGATTTGTATCAATTCATATCTTGCAAATCTATTCAATTTTTGCATTTGTATTTACTTGTTATTTATTATTATGATTACTGTTATCAGCATTATCATCATTGCATTATTAATAGTAAATTAGTATTATTATCATTATTATAGTTTTTATTGTTTATAACAATAATATTATATCAACATTATTATCAATATTATTATTGTTTGATTTTAATCATTATTAATATCAATATCGATTTATTCCATTATTTTATTTGTGTTTATATATTTATCTCTTTTTTTTTAAATAGCTGCTTCCCAGCATAACCCAGATTCTTGAACCTGACGTCAAGCCCATAACCTCCATCCACCAATCACTGCTCAGCGATGATGATCTTGCATCCGGCACCAATCACATCCACCGCCCAGATATCAACAAGACCACGCCCAAGATGCTGACTCCGCCCGACAGCCCCGTCGTCTTCTCAGAGCTAACCACGCCCCCTAATCTTCTCAGGATGACGTTACACGACGGTTCACAGATGGTCTCGAATTTGGAGTCTGTTTGCAGCGTGCTTGAAATGGGACTGCATTCGAGTAAGTTCGTGATTCTATATTTACAGGGAAGAATCCGGGGTGTTCATAAGAAGGAGGAGAGAGGGGGGGGGGGGGGGGGGGGGGGGGGGGGGGGGGGGGGGGGGGGAGGGGGGAGGGGGGGGGCAAAATCTTCATATCATTCATTGCCAGAATCAAGAATCAATTAGAATCGGTTTATTAAGAGTCACAAAATGTAAACTGAAAATGCAGCCCTGATTTTTTTAAACTCACAATACAAGTCATCCAATTTCATCATAATCAATAAAAGTATCAATAATATGTATCTATCACGAGGCCAAAATTCAACATTTTCAATTTATAAATATAGTGCTAAATCATGCATAGTAAAACGTTTAGTTATATATATTTATCATTTTGTCTTTAACTGAGGGAGGGGGGGGGGCGTTTCAGCCCTCATTGAATATTTTGTTTCTTCTATAATCACCTGATAATACATCAATGAGAATATCATGAATAATTACTTCATGAACCTGTGACTCAGAGCATCGCCCCCCCCCCCCCAAAAAAAAGTTAAAACAAAAATCAATAAATAAATCAATATGTTATCACAGTGATGTAGGCTTATAGCTAGTGGTATAGGCAAAGTTCGACAAACAATTCTCGTTCTATAGCCTTTCATAAGGATATATCTCTACATCGATGCTATTGATACATATATCGAACTCCTAAAGAGCATGCATTGTATTTTGTCATCTTCACAATCATGCATGCGAGATACAAGCAGGCACAATGCCCTGTTTGGTATTGATAATTTTCAATAGATCTATCGCAGCATGAGTGTTCAAAGAAGCGACGTGGGCATCTGCATAATTACGCCGTGCTTTATCCGGTGTCAAAACTGAAACCAAGCAAGCTCTTAAAGAGTGACAAGTCGTTAATATAAACATTATTTTGGAAGACGGGTAGAGTGAGATAAAGTGATATATGAGAGAAGGGTAATTAAAAACTTCGGGGGAGTGTGGTGAGGGCTGGGGCGTAACCTGGCCTTGCAACCATAGAAGGGGCATTGGTGTTATGGGGAGGGGGCATGGTAGCCTTACTAGGTGAATGTTATCGTGGTATTGCGAGGGAACAAAGCGTTCGCGTAAGGTGTGAGGAGCGGTCATGTTCTTAATAGTCTTCTTAATTTGTGTTGCTCCACCCTCTACTTCTCCCCCTTCCCCTATCTTGCTCTCTCTCTCTCTCTTTCGTTGTCTACCTCTGATGCGTGTGTCTCCCTCGCTCTATCCCTTTCTCTGTCTCTTTTTCTCCCTCCATCCCCTCAGTAATTAATTATTGAGGCCAGTGCTCCATGACCCCCGTTACACCATTAGGGTAGAGCTGTTGGGAGAGTATGAATTGGCATTATGTTATAGAAGGCAGATTAAGAAGAGCATATATGAAGGTGTGGAAAGGAAAATTGATAGTTAAGAGAGTGAATATGAGGGGATGGGGGTGGGGGGGGGGGGAGGGGTCGGGGAGGAATATGAAAGTTATTTTGAAAAAAAAATATAGAAAGAGACAATGTGAGATATATTGAAAAGCAGACATTAGAGAGATGGTAATAAGAAACATGGATATGGTGAAATAAAATAGAAACTGAGGGATTGATAAAGATATTCAGGATAAATAAATCAAAAGAGCGAAAGAGAAAGAAAAGACAGGATAACGTCACTTCAAAAGAGATTAGCATACAGGAATGTTAACATACAGAAGATAATGACTAAAAGAGCCTCTGACCAGAAAGAAAAAGATCTAAGGAAGAACTGAATATTGAAAGAAAACTGGATGGAAGAGTGAACTAGTGGAGGGACCCTGAGAGGGGGAAACGGGGGAAGAAACCACAGGAATATTAAAGCCCGTCTGTACTAGTTTGGCCATGGTGATTAGACCTCCCTGCAAGGTCACCGACAGGTGGTTATCTCATCAAATCAGCTCTCAATTAACATAAGAAAAAGAGGATCATGGGAGACCAACAGGCACCGATTAGGCATTGTTTGCTATATAGAGGGCGCAAGTAGCTATACGTAGTGCAATGGGCTTTAAATGGAGACATACTCGTTATAATGATGGAAAGACGAAACTGCATCATTCAAGCCCTGACAATCAAGTCGGCCTCCAAACCAGCTAATAACAAAGAGAGAGAAACAAGATGGATGAGTTAAATGATGATAAAAAGCACCATTAAAACGTCCACGGATCTTCTCCCCCCTCACATTTATTTTCAAAATGTCTGGTTTTGGTTTTGCTTCAGGCAGCTGCAGCGCCTTTTAATTACAACAGACAGACGACACGTGTAGATACTACACACGATAAACTATATAATTTTGCTGTATGTACATCGCCTGTGATATGGGTGTACGAGACATATTCAGTGTGATCTGTAAGATCAACCTAAAACTAACTACATACACGATGATTTATATAAACATGGCACCCACACGGTAGAATTGTTAGCGTATGTTTACTAACATGTTTTTGTCCCGAAAATTCAAACACATGCATGATTAGATGTTAGTATTCAAACAGTTTAAACGCAGGTAAAAAAGCACTTATTGTTAATTAAAAACAACTTCTTCTCCGCTTGTTAGCAAACGGTTTTGTCTCTTACTGTTAGATAATGAATAGTATATCCGTTGTGAAATTGGTCAAGATAAGTAACGTTTGCAGCCACGCTGCTGCTAACAGTTCACAAGCACTATTTTCAGAAACAAGTGATTGAATCGTTTAAACACAAGCACATACTAATTGGTCAATTAAGAGTGCAGGCACTGTAAAACACAAGATCGATTAACAATAATCATAATGGAAAACAGACTTATTTTTATTGGTTAGGCTTCGCCAAACGTCCTAGAGTTGCATGCCCTGTTTCTCCCGTTATTGCATTAAACAATCGAGATTAAAAACATAATTGTTAGACCCAGGCGCGGATCCAGGATTTCTTAGGGGGGGGGGGCCCAAATTTGAAATTACGTTATGGTGACCAACAGTGACGTAATGCGGGGGGGGGGCGAGTTCCCCCCTCTCAGGCTTTGACGTTTCATTATATTATTAGAGAAAAAAGACGATTCGTTGTACCGTTCTCGAAAATAATTCTCGTCTGAATTTAGTTTTTTCTCCTCCCGCGCGAAGCGCGGAAAATTTTACGATTTATTAAATTATTAGAGAAAGAAGACGATTCGTTGTACAGTTCTCGACTCTTAATCCTTGTCTAAATTCAGCCCCCCTCCCCCTCCTGCGCGAAGCGCGGAAGCTTTGACGTTTTATTAAACTATTAAAGGAAGAAGACGATTCGTTGTACCGTTCTCAAAAATAATTCTCGTTTGAATTTGAGTTTTTCCCTCCAGCGCGAAGCGCGGAAAATTTTACGATTTATTAAATTATTAGAGAAAGAAGACGATTCGTTGTACAGTTCTCGACTCTTAATCCTTGTCTAAATTCAGCCCCCCTCCCCCTCCTGCGCGAAGCGCGGAAGCTTTGACGTTTTATTAAACTATTAAAGGAAGAAGACGATTCGTTGTACCGTTCTCAAAAATAATTCTCGTTTGAATTTGAGTTTTTCCCTCCAGCGCGAAGCGCGGAAAATTTTACGATTTATTAAATTATTAGAGAAAGAAGACTCTTAATCCTTGTCTAAATTCAGCCCCCCTCCCCCTCCTGCGCGAAGCGCGGAAGCTTTGACGTTTTATTGAACTATTAAAGGAAGAAGACGATTCGTTGTACCGTTCTCAAAAATAATTCTCGTTTGAATTTGAGTTTTTCCCTCCAGCGCGAAGCGCGGAAAATTTTACGATTTATTAAATTATTAGAGAAAGAAGACGATTCGTTGTACAGTTCTCGACTCTTAATCCTTGTCTAAATTCAGCCCCCCTCCCCCTCCTGCGCGAAGCGCGGAAGCTTTGACGTTTTATTAAACTATTAAAGGAAGAAGACGATTCGTTGTACCGTTCTCAAAAATAATTCTCGTTTGAATTTGAGTTTTTCCCTCCAGCGCGAAGCGCGGAAAATTTTACGATTTATTAAATTATTAGAGAAAGAAGACGATTCGTTGTACAGTTCTCGACTCTTAATCCTTGTCTAAATTCAGTTCCCCCCCCCCCTCCCCACCTGTGCGAACCGCGGAAGCTTTGACGTTTTATTAAACTATTAAAGAAAGAAGACGATTCGTTGTACCATTCTCGACCCTTTATCCTCGTCTGATTTCAGTTCCCCTCCCCCTCCCGTGCGAAGCGCGGAAGCTTTTACGTTTCATTAAATCATTAGATAAAGAAGACGATTCGTTGTACCGTTCTCGACCCTTTATCCTCGTCTGATTTCATTTCCCCCCCCCCCTCCCGTGCGAAGCGCGGAAGCTTTTACGTTTCATTAAATCATTAGATAAAGAAGACGATTCGTTGTACTGTTCTCGACTCCTAATCCTTGTCTAAATTCAGCCCTCCCCCCCCCCCCCCCCTCCTGCGCGAAGCGCGGAAGCTTTGACGTTTTATTAAACTATTAAAGAAAGAAGACGATTCGTTGTACCGTTCTCGACCCTTTATCCTCGTCTGATTTCAGTCCCCCCCCCCCCTCCCGCGCGAAGCGCGGAAGCTTTTAATCTTCATTTAATCATTAGAGAAGAAGACGATTCGTTGTACAGTTCTCGACTCTTAATCCTTGTCTAAATTCAGTTCCTCCCCCTCCTGCGCGAAGCGCGGAAGCTTCTACGTTTCATTAAATCATTAGAGAAAGAAGACGATTTGTTGTACAGTTCTCGACTCTTAATCCTCGTCTGAATTCAGTTTCCCCCCCCCCCCCTCCCGTGCGAAGCGCGGAAGCTTTTACGTTTCATTTAATCCTTAGAGAAGAAGACGATTCATTGTACCGTTCTCGAAAATAATCCTCATCGGAATTTAGTTCCCCCTCCATCCCGCGCGAAGCGCATAAGCTTTTACGTTTCATCAAATAATTAAAGATTCGTATTACCGTTCTCGCCTCTGAATCCTCTTCTCAATTCAGTCCCCCCCCCCCCCTCCTCCCCTCCTGCGCGAGGCTTTGACGTTTTATTATTAGAGAAAGAAAACGATGCGTTGTACCGTTCTCTATACTCTTTAATCCTTGTCTGAATTTCAAAGAGGTGGGGTCGAGGCGGCGGAGCCGGCCCCGGAAGCTCAGGGGTTTTAGGCGTTTAATTAAGGTCAGATGAGCATATTTTTGTGTATACCTTATTATTTTGTGACACTGGCAAGTCACTATTTGGCATGGGATCCAGGGGGCAGAGCCCCAAAAAATCAGGGGTTTTAGGCATTAAATTACCGTCAGATGATCATCTAAGGGCCCGCCGTAGGGCCCTAGATGGAATCCAGGGGCAAAGCCCCGGAAACTTAGGGGTTTTAGGCATTTAATCACGGTCAGATGAGCATATTTTGATGCCTCGAGGCTCTCGATCCCCGCCGTACCTCGGGCCCTGACATGTAGGAATCTCAAGAATCATATTTTTTGCCTGGTTGTAAATTTAGGAATTTTTTTATTTTCCAACAAACACATACAAACGTATAATTTACTAAAAAGTGAGGAAAAATTTCGGAAATTATGTCATTTCAGCATTATTTGTAATACACCGTTGTGGAATCAGAAATAAACCACGTTTGAATTTGATTTCCCCCAAGCCCCCCCCCCCCCCCCTCTATCAGTACGCCAGTATCTCCTCTTTTCCTTTTTTTTCTTTCCCTTTCCTTCCCTCTCTCTTATTTTTTTTTTTTGATTGGGGGGGGGGGGGGGTTAACAGCCTGGGAGGCAAGGCCCTTTCGGCCCCCCGATCTCCTTCTTCCCCTTTACTTTTCTTCTTCCTCTTCTTTCTTTCCCTTTTTCTCCTTTTTCCCTTTCTCCCTTCTTTTCCTTCTTCTCTCTCTTTTTTTTTTTTTTTTTTTTTTTTTTGCGGGGGGGGGGGGGGCCAAGGCCCGCTCGGCCCCCCCCCTGGATCCGCGCCTGGTTAGACCGACATAGATCAGTACTTTTGCTTACTCCATATTTACAAAAATCATTGACTGAAAACGGAGAAATGATCATTTTGGAGAAGAGAAATAAAGTACCTTGCATTTGAACAATTTGGACAAGGTACATTAACAGGCCTCCTTAAGGTTTGTTCAGTCAGGATCATTATGGCACCCCCCTTAATTGTTATACAAGGAAAAAATGACATTCACAACAAAACATAGCTTGAAATATACACTTGTTATGTTTAAGCCTCCCTCATAACTTCAACATGAATAATATGTATACATTGATTAATGTAGACCAATTTCCATAGAGCATAATACGACGTAGGGCCATAACTTTGTTCCACTTTCATTAATCCTTGTTTTGTTTTTCATAACTATTTCAGATTTTCTTCCGGCATTTGATAGTCTGGAATCGTTAAATCACATCACTGAATTGGAGCATCTTCATGCCAGGGATATCATGAGCAGTACATCAACGAGATCAGGTACGTACCTCTCCTACCACTCTCATACGCCCTGGTCCTGCACCCCTTGTGACCCTCTAACACTCCCTGGCTTATCCCTCCTGGCCCACTACCCCTCCTACCACTCTCAAACTCCCTAGTTCTGCACCCCTCCTGCCCCTCTTTACACTCCCTAAGCATACCCGCCCTACAAAGAAAGCACCTCCTGCCTTTACGCCCACTTGTCCATTACCCCTCCTACCACTCTCAAACTCCCTGGTTCTGCACCCCTCGTGCCACTTTCACACTCCCTAACATACACCTCCTACACGGTACACCCCTCTTGTCATTAACACCTACCCTCCTACCACTCTCAAACTTCTGTACTAGTCATTTATGCCCCTATTACCTCTCATTACCATTTCTTAATTACCATTACCATTTTCATAGGCTTAATACTGACTCCAGTGGGCAATGGGTTCAATCCTGTACTTACTTAAATGTTTAAAAAGGGAATGTAAAGGGGCCGCCCCTACTAGCATTATTGCTATCTTGTGGTAATCTCCCATTGCAATGTGTATTTTATTACGGTCAAGTTTGAGGAATTAAATTCTTTCTTGGATCTGGTGGATAATTGGTCCAGTTGTTAGGTCGCATTATGAGTACCGTATACCCGAATTAATATTGTGTTTCTAAGTTACCAAACCCATCCATAAAACCATTGTAAGTGGACCCCCTTTTAAGAAATATTAAGTGTTGACGTTGTCGGCTAGCAGTTCTCATGTATACAAGGACCAATTATGATAATGACACATACTGTTTTCGTTAATTTAGACAAATATATTAGATGGATTTCACTATCGCTATAGTTTTGATTTATGATATGATTTGTTTTCACCACACAAGTGGAATAAAAACATGGATTGGGTGACGCTATGTTGTTTTGGTATTAACTTTCGTTTTAAATGCCTTTTTATTTCACTTTCTCTTTGGCTTTCTCTGGCTGTCTGTCTCTCTATGTCTCTCTCTCTCTCTCTCTCTCTCTCTCTCCCTCTCTCTCTATCTATCTCTTTCTTTCTGTCTGCTTCGAATACACCTGTCCCTTTCTAGATGACATGTTCGATGATAATGACAGTGGCTCAGATTGGCCCGGTATTTACATCGATGACAACGATGGTAAGTTTCGGTATTATGATGTACTTATCAATATTCCTAGGAGTGATGAGGGTGGTGGTGGTGGTGATGATGATGATGATAGCAATGAATATGACGTTGGTGTTGGTGTTGGTGATGGTGATGATCATGATGATGATGATGATCATGATGATGATCATGGTGTTGATGGTGATGATTTATTTATTTATTTATTTATCTATTTCGGTTTAAAAAGACATATAAATATACATGATTCAAAGGTCCTAGGACCAAAACTGATCATGTTTACAAGTAATGCAATAAACATATAGATACAGTATATATATATAATAGTGAACCAAACAGACAGGTACCACAAGTACAAGATGGCAATAAAGATGGACAAATAATACATTTCAATCAATACAATACCAAAATAAACTAAGAGAAACTAGTGATCAAGATCGTCAAATTACCAAACTGCTTTAGGGTAATGGTAGCAGATAAACAGACAATAATAATGTTGAGTAACCAAACAATCAAAAAATATAGGGGAAAATTGTATTAAAAAAAGGGCAACGATGATGTTTATTATTATGATCACATTAATAATGACGATGATGATGATGATGATGATGATGTTGGTAATGGTGATGATGACGAAGATGAATGCAGTATCTATGTTGGTGATGGTGATTCCAATAATTTCCCCACATTACTGTCCACATCTCCATCGCTATACCACGTTCTCCATCCATCTTCCATTATTCTCTCAACAGACACCATTGTTCCCAGCCCCACCCCATCCCCTCCATTCGATGCTCCCTACTTCTACGAGTCTCCGGACCTTACAACCATCGACAGTCTCCTCGTCTACCAAGAACCAGCGAAACCCGAGAGAAGGAAATACAGCTCCATCAGTACTGAAGGTAAGCTACTTATCAATTATTTGTCTTTTTTATTTTATTTATTTCGGTTTAAAAAGACACATAAATACACATGATTCAAAGGACCAAAACTGATCATGTTGACAAGTAATGCAATAAAGTTATAGATACAGCAAACATGTCAAAGGGAAAAACAGAATTAGAAATAGATATTATAAGCACAAAAGAGCAAATTTAGCAGGTCTGCAAAATGCTTTCAGTTTCAAAATGGTTCATTATCTAAAAAAGAACGAGGCAAGAAAGATAAAAATAGCAGTATGAATTTTGATAAGTTAGCATTTTTGTATAGAAACTTGTCTTTTTTTACAAGTTTCTGCGAAACTCAAGGAAACTAATGTTCTTAATATCAGAAAAATACCCAATATATTATTACAAGCAAATATTTACTTACCCGATTTAGAATAAAACACACAGTTTATACCAAACACCTATACGATAATGTTTTAAAAAAGAGGTAAAACTAACTATTCCGGAACGAGGAAAATATGTATCGATTCATAGATGTTATTCGTGGCATTTCGGGAAGATAATATTTGTATTCTAATACTTTGGCATTTGCTTTCGTTGCATGTGTGCATGTATATCATTATTATTCGAAAATACCGATTTGAAATAATTGCGTTGCATCGGTACAATACGACAATTGCTATTTCTTGGAATGTGGGGGCGTTTTAAAACCTAGGGAAATAATTTGGTCAGGTATACGCTTCCGAATTCTATTGAAACATGGACTTGTTATCAGAGTGGGCTTTAGGAAATGACAAAGGTTTTTGGAAATATAGTGAATAGTGAAATGTAACTGCCCGTTAAATTATGTTCTTTATCATTTTTATTTTTGATCTATAGTAACTATATACTTTATTTTTATTAAAGCTGAATCAACAATTGAACTTCACATTGAATTAGGAATTTCTAGCCATGTTTGTACCTATCGTGTTTCGATAATCTCCATAAAATATTAATGTCTTTAATCTGATATCTTCTCATATACCATCATTTCTATATACAAGAATAGTTGATTTCAAGTCAGTTACAGTTCAATTCTCATTGATCAATCCTTTTTCCTCACACTGTCCCGCCTTTATCCTCTCTCTCTCTCTCTGTCCATTCTCTCTATCTCTCTCTCTCTGTCCATTCTCTCTCTCTCTCTCTCTCTCTCTCTCTCTCTCTCTCTCTCTCACTTTCTATTTTATAACTTTAAACCATGTAAAATGTATTATATCATTGAACATTGAATTGTATATCTGTTTTTGTTTGTAATAATTACTGGTCTGTTGGAAATGAAAAATAAACCTGAAACTGAAACACACTCTCTCTCTCTCTTCCTCTGCACAGAATCCATACAGTCTGACAGTGGCAGCGAGGGCGGACGCTGTACCCCTCTCATCATCCCAACCAGACCGTTCCACAGTCATCACAGTTCCAATAAATCAAAATCAGGTAATACATCGCCCCCTTCTCCTATAGCTTTTGACCAAAAATGGGTAACACATCAACCCCTTTCTTCTATAGCTTTTAACCAAAAATGGGTAACACATCACCTCTACTACTATAGCACTTAACCAAAAATGGGTAATACATCACCCCCTACTTCTATAGCTTTTATCAGAAAATGGGTAACACAGCACCCCTGCTGATGTAGCTTGTAACAAAAATAGGTAACACATCGTCCCTACTTCTACAGCTTTTAATAGAAAATGGGTAACACATCACCCCCTACTTCTATAGCTTTTAACTAAAAATGGTTAATACATCACCCTTTTGCTATAGACATGAGAGAGACGGAGGAATGTAGGAAGGGGGAGGGGGAAGAGACATGAATATGCATGGACAGGGGAACAGAGGGAGAGAGAGAGAGAGAGAGAGAGAGAGAGAGAGAGAGAGGGGGGAGAGAGAGAAGGGAGAGATAGAGAAATCAGAAGAGAAGAGAGAGAGAGTGAGGGAGAGGGAAAGAGAGAGGGGGCGACAGAGAGAGAGAGAGAGAGAGAGAGATTGACGTGATCATGGCTGTATAGCTCTTTTCCATATCATTATTTTCACGATTCTGTCTTTCTATCCTCCCACCTTCTGTCACCCTCCTAGCAGCAAGCAGGACGCACAACTACCAGAGACGCATCATCACCAAGAGCCTGGAAGAGCTCCGGGAAGAAGGATCAAAGCCGGTCTACGGGTCACCATCATCACCCTCATCGTCATCGACATCATCGTCGAGTTCTAGCATTGAGAAGAGAAAGCGAGGTCGACCCAGGAAGAGGCTTTCTGGCGAACTCGGGGAGAGGGGAGTCAACAGAAGAAAACAGAGCAGGAAAGCAGGTCAGTAACTAGCTAAAGAAAGTTTGTTACAGTAGGCTTGCGGGTGCACCATGTGAGAGAGAGGGAGGATTGAGGAGTCCTGAAAACGACTCTGATTCGGTAATCTTTCTTGGGGGTGTGTAGTCCTAAAAAGGACTGTTTGTTATCTTTCTTAGCTTATAGTTCTAAGGAGAACTGTAGCGCTTGGAGAAGATGAGTGGCTCGACGTTTGGAACAGGTTGACTATCCGTCGTCAGGACTCCTCAATCCTCTCTCTCTCTCACATGGTGCACCCGCAAGCCTACTGTATAAAGAAAGTTTTGTTTGTTTGTTTCACTTTAGAACGACGTTGCTGCATTTACTGTTGATACAAACTCTGTTTTGAGAGAATAGTAATAAACAACAATGAGAAACCAATAGTCCAATGGCTTCTATTGGAAAATCAATAATGATAAATCAAAATCGATCTTGGCAACTGTCCACCAAAAAGAAAAGAATGAAACAATATCAATTTTATGTAGAAGTAAATGATGAAGAAGAAAAAGACAATCAAATGGTGACAGAGGAAAGGCAACAGATAAATCGAAGTAGAAGCAGAAGCAGAAGAAGAAGAAGAAGAAGAAGAAGAAGAAGAAGAAGAAGAAGAAGAAGAAGAAGAAGAAGAAGAAGAAGAAGAAGAAGAAGAAGGAGAGGAGGAGGAGGAGGAGGAGGAAGACCAAGAAGAAACGAGGCTTACTGTATAAATGTAATTGTCTTCTAATTAACCGTCATCTCTCTACATCTGTTTCCATGGTTACAGTGAAAGGAAGTCATCTGTGGGAGTTCATCCTTAACATCTTAAAGAACGAGGCCTACTGCCCCCAGTACATCAGGTGGGAGGACAAGGAGAGAGGAGTCTTCCGGATCGTCAACTCAAAGGTGGTCGCCAACATGTGGGGGGATATCAAGAACAACCCACGGATGACGTATGAGAAGCTGAGCAGGGCAATGAGGTGAGTACCCCCCCCCCCTTTCACAACCCCCCCCCCCCCAATTCTCCTTCACCCTCCTCCATCCCCACTTACCCCTAATCCCACAGATTCAACTCCAAACCGATCGAATACTTTGTAATGTAATTTTCCTCCCTTCGGTCTGTTATCGGTCCTAATCTGCCTGATATGAAATATAGGATATGAAAATACTTGAAGATTGTGTGTCTTCACCCCTTGACCCCCTCCCCTTTCGTTTTTTAATATATTTTTATTTTAAGGATACAAGTGGCTCTCCATAATTGTTAAGTCCAACTTAGAGATAAGTTCGACTTAGGATCTTTGTGAAACACCCCCCAGAACATATGTTATACAACAATTGTTCTATTTCAATGATTGTGCATTTCATTGTTTTATAGAAACAACTTTATATTAATGGCAGGAGTAAGTTATCATTATTTTCTTTCCCTCTCCGTTGTTCCTTTTCCAGGTACTACTACAAGAGGGAGATCCTGGAGCGGGTGGATAAAGCTCGACTCGTCTACAAGTTCGGCGAGAAAGCCGAAGGATGGAGGAAGGTCATTGCGGATGAGTGAACAAACTTGTAACCATGGTAACCGCTTCCAGTAAAAACGCCCTTGTTAAAACGGCGACGGTGAAGCTAAAGATGAAGAGGCGAAGGTGACGCCTGTCTATGAGGTTGGATTCCGTCATCTGTACTTGAACCCTTGAGTGACCTTTCTGCGGGATGATTTGAGAAGAACTTTTTTGTTGTTGGAAAGGAACAAATGAAATACTAGAACCTTGGCAGATGTCTTAGTTGCCACAAGCAATCAGGTCTTCCAACATAAGTGACAATGGCAGAACTTGCTCAATAATTACATTGTCTCATCGTCAAAGAACAATTTTGCTCTTCCAAACTTATCTGACTGTCTGAGAGATGATTCTTCAAACCAGTCCAGAACTTTGATCGGTTTATAGGACCAATGGGGAAAACCATTAAGCCTTCAAAATTCCTCATCGATTTTTAATTGCATGGCTCCACCAGATTATCGAGTCTTCCAAAAGATTCTCAGTTCATTCCAAGAACATAGAATATTTCGATGTTCAGATGTTCAATTATTCGTGACCGAAGTAATTCAGAAGTGGTATGCCAAAAATCATCATTCCATCTTGTTTCAACCAGAGAATAAAAGTATATTCTAACCATTTCGGTTGCGCGGGAACTTTACAGAAACAGACAGGCCTGTACGACAAGACATGCCTTCCGACCAAATTCTGCTTATTCCATCATCAAGATTAGTCTTCCAACTTTTGCGAACATGTTTCATTTCTCTCAATGTCAAACACTCCATAGAGTTTTTTGTGCATGGTACGTATTAAAGTAAAAAACCTGTCTATAGCGACCACCCAAGGTAAACACAAAAAGTGGTCTTTGTAGACAGGTTCCTTTAGTACATGTTTCAATGAGAAACCATTTTCAAGGGGGAAAAAAACAAATGGTCTTTGTAGACAAGTGATCGCTAAAGCAGGTTTGTCTGTATCTCATAAAATGGGAGGATTTTATCTGCTGGACCTCTTGTTCCGTTTTCTGTTAGAAAAAAATGTTAGGAAGCCGGGCTTCGATTTATCCTTTTATTTGGATTCTCAAAGTATCCGCACTTGACATTCTCGGTGTGCAATGTCATTATAATAACTAATCATAGTTCCTGAAAATGCTTTTCAATAGGCAAAAAACCAAGAAAAAAAAATGAGTCACCATTTTATAGAAATTGATACGCTTGATAACGGAAGACGCTCTATGAGTCTATGTATATATCATAACATACTTGAAGTTGTAAATAATATTATCATGACCATGTATATATGTATATGTATCGAAAAAAGAAGAAAAACAAAAAGGAAAGGAGTTACTATATTGTCCATACGAACAGCACTATTTTTTCCACTTTCTTAAACATGTACAGGATTTATGATCAGTAGTTATTGTATGTTGATTAGTTTTACATGTGCGGATTGATAGTAGCACCACTTGTTCTTGTTTACATTTGGTGTACAGTGTTAATACATGTATGTGTTTCTGCAAATGAAGTACGCATATACTCTCTACTGCAACCGGTGTTCACGGATAACACCGATAATAACACCAATAGCGAATATGTATTACCCCGTCACGTGACAATTATGTTATCACGTGATTACAGTCTCACGTGATCGCAGTACCAACAAGCAGTATATAGCAACTTTCAAAAGTACTCGTAATTTTTGAAATCACCAAAATTCTTATTATCTATTGCTGTAACGCCATTTATCTTAGAAATGTGCATCTTTTACATGAATAGAAATACAATTCCCTATACCTAATATCTTGAGAAATAACAGAGCTGTCAAACAATTCATCTTTGTTTATTCTATTACCAAAAATAACAGTGATTAGTTTTATCAAATGTTTCGCACGATTTTTTTTTGACATTTTTCTTTTTATAAATTTATTTTGAGACCTGTATCTTGCCTTAGCCTTTTTATCGTATAAAGACGATAAGATTCTCTTTTTAATGTTTTTAATTCGATCCACTTCTAACATTTCACGCCTTATACAAGAGAGCTTAAAAATTAGGTATCATGGCTAATTTTAGAACAACTTGTCATAACATAACTAACGAGACGACTCATTTTCGATTTTAGTTCAGAGTACTTTTGAGATCATCTTTGAAAATGGACTCTAGATATTAGCAATATCTATTTGGAGCCACAACAAGGGCTGAGTAAAAGTATGTGGGTTAAAATATGGCAAGTAACAGCTGCATTTTGTGACCACAACTTTCATACCACATGTTTGTGTAGTCCCATTTATACATGTATGTGACTCTTTACAAGACTGGACTAATTTCTTATCATTTTGACGATTCAAAAACCTCACAATATACACCAATCCTCATGTGCTACATGATCAACCTTTTCCAATCGCTTCCATTAAATTTCTTCCCCAATGCCATCGCAAGATTCCGCACATGACCATAACCCAACTTTATCTTTAAATATGTGATCGTAAGTTAACCTTTGGTTGGAGTTACGTATAAACTAAAAGACAGTCGTCATTATTTTTGGAATACGATGTGTTTACTCGGTCATGAAACTATGACAACATCGTCATACACATTCTCACGCGTGCACATCACACATTGGCTGCATGTCTAATTTGCGGTTTGGCGTCATTTCATTTATCTACGAAGTGCTTCAAGACACTTGATATTTGCACTTTGTAATAGATCCTTAAACTTGGACATGCCAGTCCAATCAAAGCGATTATGTGGTTACGACTTGAGTTGCGAAATGAAAGATGATTTGGGCTTTTATTTACAATAAATATCATTTCATGTTTTGACATGATCATTGTTTACAGGGCGTGTATGCTTTTGTCTGCACTTAAGTCTACTAATTCGATAGCTTTTTATGAGTTGACTGATATTGAAATATACATTTTTCAATTACTGGGTCATGTTAAATAGACAATTTGTTTGCTTATACATTCCGGTTGATACGGCCTTGTATGTAGTAGAAATGGATCTGAATTGTCAGATTTATAGCGTAGCCTAATATCATAAATCGATAATAACTTGTGAACAATGACTGTTTCTTTCTTTGAATCGAGATTAGTTTTGGGTCTCATATTCACGACAAGACTATGCCTTTAGATTTAGAGGTATCCTACGGTTTCACGATATCGCAGTATTACATTGTTTGGGGATCAAAATAATGAATTCGATTGAAGTGACCTATATCTTGACATACTATCCGAGGGAGAGAAGCTAATGATTGAATGTAATATAGTATGAATTGACAGTAATATGTACAGTGTATACCATAACATGTCAGTCCCAGATGTGCCTCTGCATATCGCTATAATGTCAGCCTTTGAACAATGAAGATAAATCCATCTGTTTATAAACAGAAGGTCGTTACTTCATGAAACTTTATCCCAGAGTTGCTAATGTCCTTATGCCTCTAAACAGACGAAATGATCGTTCCCATCCTATTATGTATATAGATGTATATAACGAGCCTGCAGGCAGGCGAGCTTCTGTATATTTACGTTTTTATTTTTGTTTTAGATTTATACTTTGTATCATTGTGTCACTTCAAATTTGTTGTACAAATTTACCTAAGTTTGGGGTGGTTTTGAATTTTTTCTTTCATTTTTTCTGTTTCGTATCGGTTTCTGTAAGTCTTGTTCATACAGAGATGTCGCGTTACGCATTGATTTCTGTATTTGTCATCTTTTAAACCAACATCATATTGAAAACAACCACTTCCGTGTGCCCTTTGACCTTTGATATATCTAATGGACGTGTACGGATCCATTAACTAACATCAAAATGCAGCTGATACTTTCATTTCATTTTTGTTTTCAAAAGGAAATTTAACTTGAGGAATTGATAGGATTTGACCCCTCCCCCCCTTAAAAAAAATCAATAAAAAAAATCGAAGTTCTGTGTACATTCATGTCGTCTTGGACTTTATGAATGCATTAATGACGGTCGTCAGATGTTCAGAGGCTTTGGTTTGAGGTCTTGGTCATGTGTGGGTATAGGCACTGAACAGGGCCATGTTTCATAAAACTTGCCATCACTTTCAAGTTGCCATAACTGTTATAAGCTACTGAAATAGTGGCATTTGATTGGCTAAGGGCAAATTTTTCTTTTGTCATAGAAATTTAGCATTTGCTATTGATAAAAAGTTTTTTTTTAAGAAAACAAAATGATATACTTTTAAGTAACCTTCCCAAAATATGTTTTCTTCCAATGTACTTTCTGCAACCCACATTTTGCAACTCAACATTTTGTACATAATGGACCTGGCCATGTAGATGCACCTTGTCTTCCGTTTAAAGATTTGTTTTACTTGCATATGCAAACACAGCAGAGTCAAACTGTCTTCCATTTGTACAATTTGTTATACAATAACCTTCTCATCGTCTTCCTAGTGTACTTTAGGTGTGAATATTGTGTACTATTGTCGAGAAACACGTATAAATAAATCACCACTTGATAAATGCCATACATCAGTTCATGTTCTTATTCCTATTTGTCATGATTGTTTTTTTTGTTTTTGTTTTATTTGATTTGAATTGATTTTCTTCTGCATTCATATAAGTATACATTTTTTCGATAACAATAATAATATAAAGTACAATAAGTATTTTTCTGACAATGAATCATAAATAAGCAAATACATATAGGCATATATATAAATTGTTATTTTCAGAAACGAAATGATAAACTGTCATAAATACTAAATTCTTTATACATTATAAAACATTATAAAATCATTTTCGGAAGAAGGACTGTCATTGTAAGCAGATTGCTTGATAATACGACAGCCCCAGACAAAACTCATGAAATATATTAACACATTTATTAATCAGAAACAGATAGGTAATTGAAAATACAAATTTTGATGATGATGAAGATGATGATGATGATAATGATGATAATGATGATGATAATGATGATGTCAATGATGATGATAATGATGACGATGATGATGGATGTATATGGTGGATGAGAATCGGAGAATGAGGATATGTAACAGATTAGATAATCGGTGAGTGATAGCTGAGGTATTGGATTATACAATGAGTAATTTAATTAGTCTGCAGACACAGACTCTAATTTGACACTTTACCACAACTCATAACGCATTGAGCAGAGCCTATAGCTCCGTCGGTCTCTGTCTGTGGCAAGCTTATAAGTATGCAGTATGCCAATCATCCTAGTCTCACAGTGCAGACGCTATTACTTTTAAATCGACATGCACGTAAGCTAGCACTACCGACAAAGTGCCAAGCTAGTATACCCCCCCCCCCCCGAAAAAATGTACTAACTACATGCAAAGAAATAATGATAACAAAATGACTTATTTTTAATAGTAGGAGTGGAGTGGGTAGTCAGAATGCAAAATGTTGCGTTTCCAGGGGTGTAAGTCCCCCAATGCCTGTTCCTTACCCCCCCCCCCCCACCCCCTCATCCCCCTCCCCCCTCCCCCTCTCCTCCTCACCGCCACAACCTGTTAATTACTATCCTCAAAGAATTCAGAAACACTTCATAAAAATTGCTTTTCTCGAAATACATGTATTTTCTCGCATGGGTAGACTTTTGAAAAAGAAATATATTGATGAATGCGAGTGATATTTCATTCGGACAGCTCGGCTCATTGACTATTATAGCCTAGAATGGTCTGGTATGTTACCAAGCATGTAGTCCGGTTTAAATTTGCAAGTTAATAAAACATTTCACATTAAAAAATGATGTACCACCATGTTGTGAACTTCATATCTAGAACCCGAATTTCATTCATCTGACCATTGTCAGCACGTTTGGGTTTACTTTAACACGTGTGTATTCATTTCATGATTAAACAAAATGATCATACCGTCATGCATGCTATTGGGCAAAAAAAGGGCGAAAAGGTAGAAGAAAAGAAAAACCCTTTTTCAATAAAAATACAATTTTTCCCCTTTTCCCCCTTTTTCCTTTTTTTGTGTGAAAAAAAGGATTTCATTATCACGATTACTGTCGGATTGTATAGCTGTTATTCGTGTTTACGCTTCTCTGGAATGCGGTACAATAATTGTTAGATTATGATTTATGAATAGAAATCAATTGGGGAGAGAACCCTTTTGGGGTGCGGATGCTTCACAAATCCCCTTTTGTTGGAGTGGAGAGGTGTGATTTTTA